AAGGACCTCTCGTTCATCTCGCCGCGCACCGGAACGAGACGCACATTTCCTTGGACATCGTCGGCCAACATTTATTGTCGAAATTTTCTGCTACAGCTTCGTTAAATCTTTAACGAGCGATCGCGGCACAAGAGAACACAGAGGAACGAAGTTTACCTTCGCACTGGATTTTATTCGAACGCGGGTGAATCCGACTGTTTCGAACATTTTTTTGTTTCTCAGTTGTTGTGCTTTAAGTGATTGTTTAATTTTTGATCGTATCAGTTTATCGGTTCTCGATGTTTTACAGTTTACGGTTGTTTCTCTCTAATTCGCGCTCAGATTGTGCACAATAATGGACGATTCGAGGATGATTTTATATCGAATTTTATTCGACTTTTATTCGAGCTTTGAGTCTCCTTTTTATAATTGTTGATATATATGGTAACTATAAAAAGGAGCCGCAAGGATCGAATAATCGTACCTCTTTTTCTCTCGAATAATCGCACTCTTATTGCTCATTTTTGTGCGCAATCCGAGCGCGAATTAGGGAGAAATTACAGTACCGGGTACCTTATCAACGATGATTTTTTAGAAAAGCATATGGACTTAATTTAAATTTCATCGTTCAACGACTGTATAAAATAAAAATCCATTACGCTCGATCCTATCGTGACTCAACTAACGATTTAAAGTTTTGCTCGGAACCGCCCAAGATCTAGATTACCTAACTTCGCTGCTTTGGTGGTAAGGTTTTAAAGAGTAATAACAGTGTTTTCACAGAAGTTAATAACAGATACAGTGGAATTAGTAAAATGGCTCAGGGCGCTTGCGATGAAATCAAGTTTTCTTATTAATACTTTCGAGGAGTATTATGACATAGAAAATGATCGAATATGTTTCTTAATTGTATCGTGCATTGTAATTGAAATGACGAGTGGTTTAAAGTAAATTACTTTTAGGGATGGGTTTACTGCTAATGGGCAGGTTCTATCTGTGAAGATCTAGCAAGGCCCACAAGCTTCGTAAGGCCCACCAAAGTGTTTGTACACTTTTTAAAACGCAATAACTTTTTCAAAACTGAACTAAATGACTTGAATTTATGCTAGATGATAGAGGGACTAGTGTACTAGACGATGATCAAAATACCTTAATTTTGCTATTATTTGGAATTAAAAGAAAAAATTAAGAACCCTTGTTTTTTAACATTTTTATCTGAGCCTATAATGAAAATTTAAAAAGTGTAGATCTCGGTAACTTATATGCTAATAATTTGATCGAAATCGATTAATCAAGAGCCGAGCTAACAAGCGTCGAAGGACTTAAAAAACTCCAGAATTCTTTTTTGATGAAAATCGTGATAAAACTGCGACTTTCGCAATCCTTAATTTGTTGCAACTCATAACAACGTGAACCGATTTCGATCAAATTTTCACCATGCACAATAAATTACCAAGAACTACGGAAGACATTTTTTAAACTTTCGTTCTAAGCTCAGACAAAAAAGCGAAAAACAAGAAATCTTTATTCTTTCATTCCAAGTAATAGCAAAATGGAAGAAGTAGCTGTTCACGTCTAGCAGAACAGTCCTTCTAAAAAAAAAAAAAAGAAAAATGCAAGTCACTTAGACCAGTTTTAAAAAAGTTATTACCCTTTAAAAGTTGCACGAACAGTTTTGTGGGCCACCGGAGGTCGATGACGGCAGAACGAGGTTCGTGAACGAGAGAACATTCGACTGTGTTCTATTCTCGAAACTCTCCGGGATCCCTGATCTCTTAAAATTGCATGAAATAATGATGCATGCGCTCCGTAGGAACGACTCCGTATCGGTGTACGGAGCTTTTTAAACGCGGCGACGCGACAATAGCACGGCGAAACAGAAGGCGAAACTCTATCATTCGAATCGAATTAAAGAATTCTGCATACGCTGTTCTGGAGATGCACACAGGTGCGCCGACGTAGAGAATTCCTGGGGCAATGGCTCGAAGGTGAACCACGGGAGTGGCAATTTTAGCCGGACGGTTTCGCGGATCTGATTGTCGGTGGTGGTATTTTCAGAAAGATGCGCGGAAGAGTGACGAATCGGTGGGAGCGGCGCGCGACAAAAGCTTGGTTGCGAAGAGAAAGATAAATAGATGGATAGACAGGAAGCCGGCGGCGGCATCCGGCCGTCGAGCTTTCGTCCCGCTACCCTCGAGGATGATTTTTCGAGGACGCGCGACAGCGAGCGAACCTCCGAGGAAATCTTCGTGCTCGACCTCGGCTATTTCCCTATCCGCGACACAGACGGGGCGGATCTGCATTAACTATGGATTCAGAGCTCATCCTCCTTTCGAGATTCTTTTTGCGGTTTCCATCTTTACCGTCTCTCTATCCCCGGCCGCCGCCTCGCGTCCGTCCTTCTCGGCCGCGCGCGTCCTTTGACCGGCAGTTTTCCATTCGCGGGCCGATGGATACCGGAGCGCATGCCGTCTGCCAGCGATTCAGCCGCGAATTAAAGAGAAGCACCGCCGACAATCGGCGCCGCGGATTTCTCGGCGCCATAGAAATTTCTATCTAGACGGGCGAAAAAACGTTACAATGGTAGCCGATTGATAATCGGTTTTGATTATCCACCCTCGCGCGGATTCATCGCGCTTCGCGGGGTTTCTAACAAAAAAACAGCGAACTCACTTTTCCCTCTATCATCATTATTATTTTCCGACTATCATAACACATCGTTCGATAAGTCCCCGGTCTGACACATATTCAAGGTGTCCCAAAAATTTCTCGCAATCCGAAAGTGGTCCTCAGGTCATTCGAAGCAACTTTTTCCTTTACAAAAATTTTCTCCGAGACACCGTTAACGAGTTATTAACGAAAAACAGTGACCAATGAGAGGCGAGCTTGGCTGGCGCGAGGCGACCGAGCCAATGAGCGGAACTAGGCTTCGTGCGCTGGGCCGTCTCGCGTCAGCCGTACTCGACTCTTATTGGTCACTGTTTTTCGTTAATAACTCGTTAACGGTGCCTCGGAGAACATTATTGTAAAGGAAAAAGTTGCTTCGAATGATCCGAGGAGCCCGCCATTTCCGGATTGCGAGACATTTTTTGAATTTCTTCTTCTTAGTTAGACCGGAGACTTATCGAGCGACGCGCTACGTTCCCTGTTACGCTCTCCGAAAATTTCGCAAAATCGCTACCGAATCGTAACGTTCGCGAATTCGCTCGCAACGCTCGCGCGTAATCCCGCCCGAAAATCGTCGGCCCTTCGAAATTCGCCGAATGTTGCGTTTAGCCGAGGCGCGGCTGCACAAGTTCCCCGAGTGCACGCACCGGCCGGAATCGATCCTCTCATCGAGGAAGCTCGGCTTCAATTAGCAGAACGTGCCCCCCCTCCCCCCTCCGTTGGTGTAAAAAGGAGCGAAGATCGCGAACAATTAATTACCGAAAATGTTGTAGAATAGGTCGCCGTTGTAGCTGGCGGGTTCGGCTCGCAAAGCTCTCGGTTGAATTAGCGAGCACCGAAGCGACGCATTCGCGTAATTACCGCGATTACCGGCCCTGAAATCCATTCAATGATCGGCCGAGATTCGTCATTCAGGCGAAACACGCGGCTATCCCTCGATATCCGTGTGAAAGCATAGGACCGGAGCCCTGTGCTCGAGCGAGGCGCAAGCTCTGCCGGGAGCGCTGCGACCGGACGGACAGGCCCACGAGGCGTTCCCCTCGTCTGTCCGTCTCTCGTCGCCTCCGGTATCGAGAGCCCGTGGATCGCGATCCATCGCGTCCGATGATCGGTTTGGCTCTCGCGCAGTGTCTTCTTCGCCGCGGCCTCCTGGCCGGCGGCGTTTCACGGTTCGCCGCCGCGAAACAGGCGACGCGTTCGCGGCGGCGTTTACGAGCTGCTCGCGACGCGACGAGCCACGAAACTCGACGCAGATTCGTCGCGCACTTCGAACTCGAACGCGTCGTGAAAACGCGGAGACCTCGGAGCTGCGGCCGCGCGGGATAAATGGGCCCGATCGGAGCCCCGAGGCAGTCGTTACGCCGCGATTCGCCGGTGCAATTCGCGCGCGCCTCTCGCGAAGGCGACGGCTCGCTTCGAAGCACCTCCGCGGCGATACAACAACAGTTCGCCTTTCACTTTTTTCATTTTATCCCCAGCGAAGCGTGCACGCGACGACGCGTGTCACGCGGCGCTGCGTATCGACCGCGCGGATCGACCGGCTGTCGGCCGTCGTCACGCCGGCTGCGTGCTCTGCGTGCTCCGACGACCGTGCTTTCTCCGACACGTATCGCCCGATTAACTCGTTGCCGTTTCTTTGATAATCCGGCCGCGACAGTCTCCGCGAAAAACGGGAAGAAAATTGTTCTCCCCGCGGTCGTTCGCGCCGGTTTCGAGCGCGAATCGTCGCGTCTACGATGGAAACGGGCGCGAGGCGACCCAACAATTTGTGAAGTAGAAACGTTCTTTCCCGGGATCCGGGCTCTACGGAGTAAATTAAACCGATTCGAGGCATGCCTTCTCCATTCAACGACACGAGGGAACGCGATCGGCAAGCGTAATTTATAATTCCGTGGCGCTAAAAAAAAACTCTCTCTCAAAGTCACACCGTTCTGGATCGCATTAAGGCCACGGATGCCGTCGTAGGTCTTAATCGTTCGGCGATCATAAAAATCTATGGCCCCGTTTTAAAGGGGACCTTGAATGCACTGACAATTTTTCAAAGTTACGGACGGTCTAATTGAATGGAGAGAGCTGTAATAGCGAGACGGTCGCGGAGACACACGCATCCGGCGAAACGAGAATCGTCTTCGTTCACGATGGAACGAAGAGGACTTCGGGCGCTCGGCGATCCGCGCGGCGATCGTTGCGCTGAAATTTCCGCGAGAGTTCATACATCGTGTCCGTGTGTCGCACAAGTATCGTAGCGCGTCGAACAGTTCGCTGCCGAAGATAGTTCGTGAGAATGTCAATGTCCCGGCGCGTGCAACACACTGTCTTTCGCGCAAATTGGATTTCTCTGGTCGATTACTCACCAACATTCTGCGCGACAATCGGGTCGAGTGCCACCAACAGGACGAGGAAAATAGGAGTCATATTGACCACCCTCTTTCCCGTCTTCCCTCGGTCACCCCTGATCACTGCACACTTATTACCACCGATGCAGCGTTTCCACCTATGAAAATAGAAATCACCCTCGTCATAACATACCACCTTCACTCCGCTGCCTGGACGTCGAAATCACGAGCGGAAGAACTCTCTCTCTCTCTCTCTCTCTGTGTGTGTGTGTGTGTTGGACGAACTCTCTGGTCGCTCGCCGATCTTCGGCTGATACAGCACTATTCAGGGGGTGGGCGCGAGGGGGACCAGGGGACCTCGAATTGGACGGGGCGTGAAACGATAAAGGTTTCTTCTCTCTCTCTCTCTCTCTCTCTCGAGCAGTGCGCGGGGATCGCGCGCTTCGGATCTCGCGGATCACTCGGATCGCAGGATCGGCGACGATCTTTCCGTCGCGCACGGCCAATTCACCGGTGGACATTCGACTGTCTCGTCGCGTAAAAAAATACTTTCCGCTGGGTCGATGGGTGACGGACAAACGCGTACTCGCCAGGGAAATGGAAACGCTTATTCAGCGCGAAACGGGCGTAACTATCGACACGCGCCATTTACCATCAGCGGAGCCCCGGCGTTCTATATATCCTACGTGGAAACGGTCAAAGATAAAAACGACAAGTTTTCCGCGAGCATCGTTAACGACCGCGCACTCTCCTACTTGAACGCGAGATAGGCGCCCGGCCGCATTCGCATCATCCCTTTGCCAAGACGCTTTTCTCCTCTTCTTCTTTTTCTTCTTCGTCGTCTTCCAGCTCTTGCCGCTGCTGCCGTCGCCGCAGCCGCTCGTCCTCGTCGTCCTTCCTTTCTTCTTTCTTGGCCGGCAATCGCGAGAGGAAGATCGATTTTCCGAACGACGACGTCACCGACCTCGTTCCCAAAAACCAGCCCCTCGACGTATTTCCCTCGGGGACGACGCACTTCGTCTCCGTTTCCCGCGACCGTTCCACTCCGGCGCCTCTTCGCGTCGCCTTTTCCGCACGCTAACACGGCCAGCCTCGCGGCCGAACGGACCCGCGAGCCTCGGGATCGTGATCGAGATCGAACTTCGCGAACTTCGTCTACTGTCGCCTTTCCCACCCTACTGCGCCCCGCCGAGATCTCGCATGCCCTGCCGGCGGTCCGGTAATCCCGATAGTCAGCGAACGATTATCCAGACACTTTCTTCCGATGATTCCACGACCATCCCATATTTTTCCGAGCGCGCCGCCCGCCAGCTAAAGAAACACCTCCGGTTTCGTCAAGGCTCCGTCAAGGGGGAAAGGCGTACAACACCCGGAAACGTCGACACGGCCACCGCCAGCCGACGTTACATCGCCGAGCCGGTCGTCCTCGGCGCCTCTTCTTCGCTCCTTCTGCCGGCCTTCAACAGGACCGTCCTCCTCCTCATTCTACCTCGCCGTGAAACTCGCTGCTATCCTCAACTTCGCCACGCTCCCCGCCGCTCTCTGCTGTCCTTCGATCCGCCACGAGATCGCTGGAACGAACGCGCTACTTCCATCGACGATTCCGCTCGAGACAAACTGCTGGCACACACGCAATCCTCGGCGAACTTCCGGCGAACGCTTTCGAGAACCGGCCCCGGAATATCACTGGCGAACTTCGTGGAATTCGTTCAACCCGATTTTATCCATTCGATCTCCCGACCATCTCGCCCGGTGAGCCGCCTTTTCCTTTCTTCGTTCGTTTCTTCGACGCCGTTTCGGTCTCGCCGACTCGAGTTTTCTTTCGGTCTCGCCGCCGCGAACGGCGACGACGCTCTTCCCTGCCGACGTTTCCGCGAGCTCGACGGCGGAGACACGGCGATCGTCCGCCGTGATTCGAGCCGTTTACTCGATCGCGGGGACAACGTAGGCCGGTTCCGGGGAACGAGACGGAGGGGGCAACGCGCGCGGCTCCGTACGCGAACTCGCGGTTCAATCAGAAATCGGTCGCGAGGACGCGCGATCGCGTTAGGGGTAGTTTTCCGAACGCGCGCTGCGGCTTGACTGACTCACCCCCATACCCCGCGACGATACCCCCTCGCGGCCTACCGGCGGCCGAGGCGCATGCGTCCAATCCCCTCTGGTTCGAGATCCGACCACGAAACGCGTACGAATTTGCGCCGGGAAAGATTTTCGCCGTCGTCGTCGCCGTCGACGACGACGACGTCTACGAGCCCCGACGAACCTTCGAGCAGAACAACGGCGAACGATGCGACGCCTGCGACGCGCTCGCCCCCGATCACGCTGTCCAAGCGTTCGATTTCCTCCGGATGATCGAGCAGGGTATAACGCGCGAATGCTGCGAGAAATCGCGGAATTTTTGCCGGAATGAAAGGATCGGCGCCGAGGGGGAAAGTGAAAGAGTCCTCCGGCGAAAGAAAAGCGGGGAAAGATAAAGAGAGAGAGAGGGAGAGAAAGAGAGAGGAAGCAGCGCGAGGCGCAGGGAGGGTGGTTTCGGCGTCGGTTTAAACGCGACGCATGCGTCCCCCTCGTAGGAGGATGTCCGGGGTGAGCCGACGCCGTGCTCTGGCCAACGTATCGCAGTTTCTAGCTCGATGTTTGTCCGCGTGGTACTCCCAGGGACGGCGGTGCTCGTGGCGACCACGAGGGTGCTTCCGGAACACACGGCGACACGAAATGATCCGCGGGATCGCGAGAGAGGAAAGTAACACGCGGCGTGCCGCGATCTTCGACGCTTGCGCCCAATGGAATCGTCACGATTCCTCTCGTGGAGAAACAGTTCCCTTTCTTTTCGCCTGGCTCGAACCACGGACACCGTTTCTCGCCGTCCAACCACGGAACTCGGATGGCCCCTGGGAGTACGGCGACCGTCACCCAGCCCCGGAGCCGAAGAAAACCGCGTCTACGACCGCCGCCGCACTCTTTCCGAGCGGGTAAGTTGCCAAGCGTGTTGTTGCTACTTCGAAACAACTTCCTCCTCTCGTCTCGTCTCTTCGCGGCGGAACCCGCGAGATTCTTCTTCTCTGTCCCGCTCTCACCGTCGAAACGGCAATTTTTGTTTCACGTGCACCGTCGCGTTCCGATCCATCGATTTCCTGGCGGACCGGAAACGCCGCCGAACGGGGACGCGGAAAAAAGTGCGCGCTGATAACGATATTACCGGCCCCATCGCGACGATGAGATCAAACCGCGCCAGATACCAGACGTCCGGCACGGTTCGACGTTACAATAACCTGTCTATTAGAGAACCGGATCGCGATTAGGCGAGCCCCGAGCGCGAAACGAATGCAAGCTCGCACGGCGAGCCGAGCGGACGCGCCGCCGATATTTCGCGCCAATTTTTCGCAGGGACTATTTCCGTGCCGACGATTGACCCGTCACCGCCGTAAATGGGTCACGGCGTTTTCACGCGACGAGCTAATTAACGCTAAACCTAGCGCGGTCAAAGTGACCGCTTTCTTATTTTGGTAATTCTGTAAAGTTCTGAGACTCTTTCGTGGAAAACGCTCGAATAAGTCATATCATTGGAGCAAGTTTTATAATAAAAACTTTACAAATTCCAAATAAATTCGGTCTTCTCACTTTTGTGAAGCAGTACATGCCAGTTAGTATTACTGCTTGGTAGGTTTAGTGTTAATTAGACATCTCCGAAACTGTCGCAATAATCGGCGCCGGTTTTTGCAAAGCTGCCTAGAAAAGTACGTCGTTTCTCCGTTTCTTCTCGACTCTGCCGAGCATTAAACGCGACTGGAATGGTTGTTTAAGTCTAAAAAACGTCGCGACTGCGTTTATTTAGATTCCGTGCTATCAAAAAACGTGCTCGAATAAAGAAATCTGTTACATNCGCGTTCCGATCCATCGATTTCCTGGCGGACCGGAAACGCCGCCGAACGGGGACGCGGAAAAAAGTGCGCGCTGATAACGATATTACCGGCCCCATCGCGACGATGAGATCAAACCGCGCCAGATACCAGACGTCCGGCACGGTTCGACGTTACAATAACCTGTCTATTAGAGAACCGGATCGCGATTAGGCGAGCCCCGAGCGCGAAACGAATGCAAGCTCGCACGGCGAGCCGAGCGGACGCGCCGCCGATATTTCGCGCCAATTTTTCGCAGGGACTATTTCCGTGCCGACGATTGACCCGTCACCGCCGTAAATGGGTCACGGCGTTTTCACGCGACGAGCTAATTAACGCTAAACCTAGCGCGGTCAAAGTGACCGCTTTCTTATTTTGGTAATTCTGTAAAGTTCTGAGACTCTTTCGTGGAAAACGCTCGAATAAGTCATATCATTGGAGCAAGTTTTATAATAAAAACTTTACAAATTCCAAATAAATTCGGTCTTCTCACTTTTGTGAAGCAGTACATGCCAGTTAGTATTACTGCTTGGTAGGTTTAGTGTTAATTAGACATCTCCGAAACTGTCGCAATAATCGGCGCCGGTTTTTGCAAAGCTGCCTAGAAAAGTACGTCGTTTCTCCGTTTCTTCTCGACTCTGCCGAGCATTAAACGCGACTGGAATGGTTGTTTAAGTCTAAAAAACGTCGCGACTGCGTTTATTTAGATTCCGTGCTATCAAAAAACGTGCTCGAATAAAGAAATCTGTTACATCGTCGCCCGTAGGAACGTTCGTGCAATTTCGACAATCGTTAAGTAAAAAACATGAAACTTGTCATCTGTCCGGCATCGTCAGGTTCAGCGTTAAATTCTGACACCGTGTCCGAATGTGATTCGTCAACCGGGCGGATCGTCGCCGTAAGAATCGTCGCGGGCGCGACGGTTTCCTCGCGATCGTCGTCGCCGTATTCAATTCGGGTGCGCCGCTACGCGTCCCAAAATTGAGTAATCAATTGTGACGAAGTTGCACACGCGTTGCATCGCGCGGAGCCGATTCGATGATACTGCGCGTATAATTAGCCGGGAAGTCACTTCGAAACTGGCGGAGCCAGAACTTGCGCTCAACTTTGCCGGTGCCGTTGAACCGCGTGCAGGCAGTTTCCCACGGCGAGCACGTAGCATCCCGGCGCTATTTTTTTATTTCTCGCCGGGCGTCTCGGCCGAAACTCGGTACTTTTCTGGACATGTTGTTAAACTCTGTCGCAGAGTCCGCGGCGGC